GTTGAATAGTCGCGTTCTTCAGTGATGGGGCTGCAAAATGGTTTTATAAGTAATAATTGGAAAGGTAGGTATGTCCACTAACAATTGTTCAGATAATGTGGGAGGTACTGTACGCTCAGAATCATTTGTTGGCTCAAAGCTGAGAAGAGCTGCGTGTTTAGAGTCACTTGATGGCTCAAAAGAACCTGAATAGTAGATAGCAAACTAATATCTTTATGCTTTTAGATTTACCTGAAGATGTGATGTTAAAGGCGTTCGTGGACGTGTCTCGCTTAATTCTGACAGTTAAAGAGAAGATCTAGAATCAGAGCCATTCTTGTTAGGGATGCATCATACTCGAGTGCACTCACCACTACTCGTTAGAGTTTTGAAACTAGAAATGAGAGCTACTCCAACTCAAAACATCTCATCCATCAGGAGTGGATATAGTCCTCAGTTCAGGAGTAAGGTCAATTTGTACAGATGAAGGGGACAGCGGGTGGTGGGCACACTATTGGTATGGTTTGGTTACTCGCTATCTTGATAGTCAAAATCGGATAGGTTTTCAGCTAATACGACAATTTCAACAAGCACAGATTTGTAAGTCAAAACGAGGGCAGTTCTATTAAATAAAAATATCAAAGTTTCAAAAAAAGTTGTAGTTTTAGAGAGCGGCGCAATTACGAAGACGAGGTTGATAACGTCTTTCTTATCATACTAGGGATAGGAACTATAATTCTAACAATGATATTTCTTGGATTTCTGATATGTCTGCAGAGAATGCGTAACAAGCAAAGGAAGAGGCTTCTGGCTTTCATCGAAGAAAGAGAACAAACGGCAAAGGTTGGTTTGCAAGCTTTTCTCTTTTGCTTGAGAACTCTGTATAGCCGAAATTTTGGAAGTGATGGGGGACGAAAGTTTTTTTGGGCTGTGCTTCATTCCAATAATTAGTTACTTTCTAGAAAAGGCGACATCGCACAAGGAAAACTAAAACAAAAACAAAGAATGAAAAATTGTCTCA